GTAGGGAACCTGGACCTCCAGATGTTGTTGAACTAAACTCCCTCTAACCCCAATTAGCATAGTTAGTGGGAAGGGATGCTGGAAACTATGACTGAGCAATATCTGTAAGAGCTCTGAGTTTCTCACCTGCACCTTAGGTGCTCAGTTGATTTGATGGCTAAATTGAGAATCTCAAGGAACTATGCAGAATAAACAAAAATCCATGTTATTCTGTTATTGATAAAAACCTGGCGCAGTAAGTCTCCTGAAGGCTGATTTTCAGACTTCAAAAAATTATGCAGCTGTGGCAGTAGTTTATAGATCAGAGAAGTATGCAAGTTCCCAGCTCAAGGAACAACCTAACTAGAATCCCTGGATATATATTTCAGTAAATCCTTCCCCCAGCCCTTGTAGTTTGCAATAGTCGTGCTTGCAGTCGTATGTGTCTGGAATTTTCTTAAAGGATAACACAAAATATCTTTCAAGTTGAGCTCAACTCCTGGTGACTTCATAGACATCTCCGTACAGTTATGTTTGGCCACGTTATGGGCTTGCCATTGCCTTCTAAGATGTTTTCCAACTCCTTATTCTAGCCTAATTAATTTCAGTTTACTTTTTCTCACTCTACTACAAAATTCTTCAAAGCTGAAGAAATCATTCATGCTGAAACGGACACCAGGTGGCAGCAAATCTTCAGAAGTAATTTTTGCTTAGGGGCTCCATCAGCATTGAGTGTGGACTGTAACAGTAGCATTGCATTGTCTAACATCTTTAAAATAGTTGTTTTCTGATAGTTTTGTTGACATTAATATCCCCAACATGATTCTGGTTTTTTGGCTTGCTTGCACATGAATATTTGCACATATGTGTGTTTGTGTGTGTCTCTGTGTGTGTATCTATCGATCTACCTACCTACCTACCTACCTTAAGGCGGTGAACATACCTGATACTCTTGCCTCCTGTAGTGGTATTATGTAAAAGATGAGGTTCAAACATTTCTATTTCAACACAGAATGGGTAGGTATGTGCACGAAACATGAGAAGAAATTTAACAAATTGTGTACTATAATAGCCAAGTTACCTTTTCTCTCTCTTTTAATTAAGTTGCACTCATTTTGTATAGATGTGTGCTATGTGGCCTTATTCAGTTATCAAATTTATATTTGACTTTTCACTTCCATGATAATACAGTGATGCAATTTGCTTCAAATAAATAAATCAATATATGAATGGAGTTGCTTTCTCTAATGGCAGTAGGATCATTTTCTGATATGTGATGGTTCAAATAATACATTTAACAACTTCATATCATCCTGTAACAGCTTAAAAGGTTGTAGAACATGTTATTTAGGATAAGATGGAAAACTTGGGGTATCAAAATAGATGGGGATATGTAATAGGAGCTTAAAATCTTATAAAATGCGTAGGAAACCAGAGCCAAGGTTCATGGCTGATACAAGTAAACATGGAAAGAAGACTAAGAAAGAATTAATTTGTGGGCTTTGGGAACAGGGAAGTACTATTGACATGTGGCATAGTTCCACTCTACTGTGAGGTTTCATGGTGCCAGAATATTAAATTTAGCTAATTTGTTGGATAGCATTTCTGAGTAATGAGGATTGATTCAGGGATTCTAAATGCATTTTTCTAGTCAATGTGAAAGAAATTCAGATAAAATAACGTGTTTAAATGTAAATTTCAAAGTAGAATCCGTTTTTTTAGATATTAAAGACTGTTTATACAACAGTCCCATTGTTTGTTTACTTTTTACTTAACTCCTTTTCACCCTCTGAATCCCCATTTGTTCTTGCAGGGGAATAAAAAGTAAATTCTTGAATCAAAATTGACTTTGGGCATGTCCTGGATATGTCCTTATAGTTTTATTAGTAACAATATAAAACTTATCTTTTAACTTCTCTTCTTTGGGGCTTTTCTTTATTTACTTGCTGACTTGCTCACCCACTTACTTACTTACTTACCCAGTCTAGCCCTGGTCTTCCTCTTGGCCCTGATATATTCTGTTCATCTGCCTCCAAGTAATAACCAGGCTCATCTCTACTTAGCTTTTGGAGGTCAGCTAAGGTCAGCTAGATACTGTGGGAGAAGGTGGGGACCCCTTACCTGCTGGAGCAGATTTTAAAAATGCATCAGGGTCTATATAATTAGGAATGGCAATTACCCCTCTTCTTCCTTTCAGGAAGAAGTTTTGTCAACAGCAAAGAGTCACTGAAGTCCATTCTTGGAATTTTTAAAATTAACTTTGTACTTTGTGTGTTGTTATTTTACCATTATTCTACCTGAACTCATTGATCTTTCTTTCCATAATTAAATGCATTTCTAGAATTGTAGATTTTCCAGTGTGTTGTGTTGTGTTGTGTTGTGTTGTGTTTTGTTTTGTTTTGTTTTGTTTTGTTTTATTGATTGATTGATTGATTGATTATGTGGCATCAATTCATTGTCAATGCTTAGCGACCACATAGATAGTTAGTGCACTATAGCACAAGATTATCAAAGTTCTTTCTTTCCATAATTAAATGCATTTCTAGAATTATACGGTTTCCAGTGTGTTGTGTTGTGTTGTGTTGTGTTGTGTTTTGTTTTGTTTTGTTTTGTTTTATTGATTGATTGATTGATTGATTGATTATGTGGCATCAATTCATTGTCAATGCTTAGCGACCACATAGATAGTTAGTGCACTATAGCACAAGATTATCAAAGTGGAAGTGCCATTTAGGCTTTTCTGCGGGCCCCAACTAA